TACGTCTTACGGGAGTTGGCTGCTCCTGGCAGCCCTCCGTCTTAGTGCTACCCCACCCTAGCACCTGCCAGGGCAAGTCTCCCCAAGTGCAACATGCTCGTTGCCTCCGTGTCTCCACTCAGCACAAGGGGCTCTCGCATTCTGCATCATGGCTGCTGTTTTTCTCAGCTCTTCCCAAAAAGGGAGGCTGGCATGGAAGAGATGGGTGCTGCCGCTAGAAGGCCCGTGGAAGTTGGAGGCTCACGGCCCTCTTAGAGATTGCACTTCAGCAGTTCTAAATGAACCTCTCTTTACAGAGGTCCCGTGTTTTTTCTGTGGCAGACTTGCATCAGCAGCCGCCTTCCATTTAGGAACAATTTGCTCATAAAAACACAACAGGGCTCTCCTTACAGGAGAGCGATGGTCTTGATGTTATCATCCAACAGCCCAAACGCTGGTCCTGTGACCTCCTATGTGGATTTTCTAGAGATGGAAACACGGGCTGCTCTCGGGGGAGCTGGGATGTTCCAGTCTTCCCACCACTGTTCAAAATCTGTCTTCAAAACACTCTGCAGTCACACTCACCAGCAGCCTGGAAGATCCATGTCCATTCCCCAGCCTGGCTGTCAGGGAAAACCGCGCTGCGCTTCGTGAGAAAAACAGCCCCAAGGACACATATCATCAGGCTGCGGCTGAGCTATAAAGCAGGGTCGGGCCATGCCTCCCTGTGCTGCAGAGCTGATGGCCGTGCCTTTGTCCACCTCCCCCCCCCATCCCTTTGGGCAACACCACATCAGTGAAACATTTTGAATTGCAGACCAAGTTCCAGCAGGAGTTTCAGCTCGCACAGCAGGACGGAAGGCAGCTGGCGATGGCTAGTGCAGCCAAGGTCTTTGTTTGCTAGCTAGTCCTGTTCCCCAAAGACATCAGGAGCCACTGACCTACTGCCTGTAAACAAAGGCCTTTCCGGGTCAGGAAGCTCCTACCCAGCTGGTGAGAAGTAGACTCTACAGTTCCCACTAGCAGGCAACTACCACCCTTTGGCTTTCTTCTGAGCTCCCAGCCGCTGCAAGAGGACAATGGCTGTCACCTCCTGCAGTCCTACCCCTCCCAAGAGCCGAGTCCTGAAACGGGACCGTACCTTCTCCATCTGACAGGTAGTTGTACCAGAAGACGGCAGTGCCTTGCTGAGGTTTCACTCGCAAATTGCCCTTGTCACAGTTTTTCCGAGTATCTCGCAGGTCAACATCGTTCTGGATCAAAGACTGGCAAGAAACCACAGAGAAGGTGTTGCAAACGGGGCTGGAATGAAGCGCACGCACTGGGCCGCCTCTGCTGCCAGCCGTCATCCCGCCCTTTGCCTGAACGCCCCACAGGGACAGCTCAAGGCTGACGCTGGGCAGGACAGGGCTTTCACAACCCGCCCGGAGCAGACAGTTTCAGCCGCCTGGAGGTCCGTGACCTGTTCCTGAGCAGCTGCCCATTCCTTAACACGTTGCCTGACAGGAGCACAACATACCTGCCAAGACTTAGTCTGAGGAAACCTGCCCAGACAGAAGCGAGCAGGACGTGCGTTACTGGCAGCAAGGCCATCAGACTGCCCCTCGTGCCTCTGAGCGGGGAGAGCTGCAGCTGTCAAAGCCCTGCGCCTCTTCCCTTGGCCTCAGAGGGACACAGCTTCCCCATGCTCTAGCTACGAAGGCTAACGTCCACCAACCTCACACACTGGACCCCTTCTGCAGCCACAGCGAATAAAGGCATTCAAAGAGGGACTCAAAATCCCCAGGGGTAACATGTAGGTGAGATTCATTTACCATCTCTTCATATGTCCTGTTATCAGCTATAGGAAAGACAGTTTCGCCTCCCCCAGTCACATTGTTCAGGTAGAACAGCACTGTCACATACCTGCAAGACAGAGTGGCTGTCAGGGGACACAACTGGAACAGGAGGAGATGCACAGGGGCTGTCCGTACCCTGCCCCTCCACCATACATACAGCGGTTCCTCCAAGACATCACAAGATACGTGATTTACATCATCAGCTTTTCTCCAAGGACAAGACAAGGACAAGAAAATCCCCTCCCGCAACGGTGACAGTGTGTTTCTAGCCTCTGGTGGGGATGGCCCAGCAGCTCTGCAGAACCACTCTGCCCTCCTCGCGTGGACCCGCAGGCTTCACCCACCTCCCCCTTCAAACCCCTTCATGCCAGCGATCTCCAGAGCTGGTTTGCTAGCCCGCTACCTGAGCGCCGAGCCCCACGCGAGGTGAGGTGAAACGGCTCTCCACACCTCTTCTCTAGTGCGTTCCAGATTGTGCCAAGGCAGACCTTACCGGCAGGAGGTCTCAAAGGGAGCGCTTTCATTGGCAACCAGCTTCGTGTGGCTGCAGGCAGTCTCGGGGAAGACAGGGCCGCTGTCCATGTGGGCATGGTAGTGCCCTCCTTGGTCGTACCGCACAACCTGGAGGGGCTCGCTGTGCTCTACGATCTCGGGGGGCAAGCGAGTCAGGCGCATCACCCTGGGGAAGAGGAGAGCAGAGCAGGTGAGGGGAAAGCACCGTCACCCTGGTTGGCCGCTACTCCCAAGCACCAAATAAATCCAGAGAAAGATAACCCCCTTCCCCAACAGACCGGAGAGACGGATGGGCTGCAGCAAGCATGCCAAAAGATAACTAGGTCCTTACAGATCTGTTGGACCATCAGCATCAGCTCAGAAAGTTCTCGTCAAGGTTAATAAAAAACCCCAAAACCGAAGGGTGCATCTCCAGCAGGACTGCTCTCAGGAAGACTTTGCTTGCTCAGAACCATCCCTTCTGTGTGTGTCCCTGGAGCCTTCACGTGCCATCTCATCGCTTCTCTGGACTCCTGCACACCACCTACAGACCTCAGGGACAGTTAGCAAAGCACAGGGCCCCTGCTGAGAGTGAATGAGAGACTAGCTCTAGGAATATTCTTGTCACCTAACTCACCTTTTCCCGTTGCCTTTTCAGCAGCCTCCCCCCAGGGCAGAGGGGCACAGGAAGTGATCAAGGAGACCGGAGCCCCCCTGCTCTGGGATTTTTCCGCTGCTACATCTGAGATCATCCCCAAGGCAAGCAGGTACCTCTTGAGACCTGCCAAAGAACACTCAGAGCTCTGAGAATTTCAGACTGGTGAAGGCTGGCTGCGGGGCAGGCGCAAGGGGAACGCGGCACCCGGGCAGGACGGCAAAGCCCCTCCAGGCACCGCACGGTCCCAGGGAGGACTGTAACAGCCTCCTTCAGCACTATGTCTTCACGTCCTTGTAACAGTGGGGCCAGCTGAAGAGTGTAAAAGCAGTATGCAGATGCCTGTGTGTGCTGGCTAGCTGGCACAGAGAAGGTGGCAGCCACAGTCTCCTCTAATCAAGGCAATATGCGACCCCATTCTCCCGCTGGAATGCACTGAAGAAAAGGAGTGGCCAACAGCCGTTTTCAAGCCTCGGGACAGATTTTACCCACCCATGTTCTGGGCAAGGACCAGCACCACGAGAACAAGAGAGTCTCCAGCCAATTATCTGAAACTCACCACAGCTAAATGATTTGGCCTGTGCGCTGGATTTCAACGCTTGCCAGTACCAAATCTGAGATGAAGGGAAGGGTAAGAGGTTCTCCCGTCTGCTGTGAGCTGCCCTGCGATACGTGTGCTCGGAGGATTAAACTGACTTGGCTTACTTGAGGTGAAGTCGTGCTTGTTAAGAAGTCAGCTCTGAACAGCTAAGACAGATTTCAGTGAAATGCATGAGTGACTAAAGCAAATGACAGTAACTACTGGCACCCAGACAGCATTGGAAACGGGCAGTTTCTCCCAGTAAACTCATTTACTAATTAGAATTAATTATTTCATATAATGCCAAGTCTTCTTGGTTTTATAGGGCTGTTCCCAAAAGTGAATGGAGATGCTGAAAGGTTTGATTTTTCTTTTTCCTTTTCCAAGGGACAATACAAATTCTTGTTCTAATGAAAACCTCCTCTCCCCATTTTGTGTCTGTGTTCGTTGCTCTTTATACTCCAAAGATTTTCACGCAATTAGGAAGTGTGAATATTAGCAAGTCTGCCACTGCCTCTCCCAGCGCAGGTGGTCCTCGTGCCTACACAAACCCAACCGCCCCTCGGCTGCCTGGCCCTTACCTTTGCCGTATGGCTCTCATGACCTGGTGTGCCCCCTCGCCCTGATACAGCCAGGTGTGCTGGCTGTTGCGCACCAAGTCACTCATCTTCACTTTCTGGCTTCCCATGTACTTGTGGAAATCACGGATATTCAGTTGTTTGAACTCCTCCAAACTCAGCACACCTACGGGAAAGAGAGGAAAAGCTGGCTGACTCTGGTGCAGGTAATAGCTCTTGGCGTCCTGTACTCGGAGGAGCCACCAGCTGAGGGCAAGGCAGACTGCCTTCCTCAAACAAACCCCATTCAGGGTCCACCGCTGTGCCCGCTACGGGCTGCACCCTGTACGTGCAGCATTACAGACCCCAGCAACGCTCTCACCTTCAGCTGAGCGGAGGGCATACAGCAACCTGCAAAAGTGAACCGTTAGCTGCCACGCAGGGTCAGAACTGGGACGGGAAAAATACCATTTTGAACTTTAAAAAGCTCCTAAAACACACAAAACAATCCATCAAAAGAGAGAAATAGCCACTGCAGTTCTAACATATGCAATGCCACAGCTAGAAAGCCTGCGCCAACTGATGCCTTGGGGCTTGTTACTTATTTAAATAGACACATTTAAGAGCAGAGTGGGACACCTCAGACCACATTTTCTACAAGACCTTGCATGGTAATTTAAAAAAGCCAAACCCAAAACAAGCGGTACATTCTTCCGCATTTGTGTAATCGCAAAACATGAACGAGAAATACAACAAAGTATGATGTTGCGTAAGTAGAAAAAACAGGAAAGTGAGAGGTAAAAAGTGGTTTCTACTAAAACAGGTATTTCTTGTTTGCACTCAACTGGACTCAGCAAGGGATGGACTTTTGCCTTTGTTGGCTTCAGAAAAATCCTCACGTTTGTTGTTTCTCCTTTCTGAAGAAGAAGGAAGCCCTGCACTGGGGACCAGGTCCCTGGGACCAGAGTGTGCAGAGTGCTGCAGTGGGCTGCCCGGCAGCCAGCACGCGTCGTGGGCTGTGAGCGGAGCTCGCTCAGGCAGCAAACCCAGTGCTGCTGTGGTGCCAGCTCTGCTCCCCGGGCACACAGCACCCTCTGGCAGGAGGAAGGACTGGCTACAAGGGTCAGCCTGGGACAGTTCCTCAGGTGCCAGTGGTCGTGACCAAATTATCCAGACCATTGTTATTTCTAGGGTCTCCCTGTCCCCACTTCCCTTTACTCCACGCGGTCTTTGATGACGCAGTGCCACGTCCAGGTTGTGACTCTTGGTGTCACGTACCAATCTAACAACGGAGGGAAGCAGCTCTCTGGAAGCAAGGTCCTGCCAAGAGCACTTTAGCAGGACTTTTCATTCGTTAATGTCCGGAACAGTGGAAAAGCCACTGAGGACTCAGTCATATGCTCCTACCCCTGCCAAGAATGCCACCGGCCCGGAGGAGCCGGGCATGGGGTGCTCTCCGGATATTTAGGCATTCACACGGGTACTGCTTCAACTTCAAAGCAGCTCCTCCTGGGCAGCTCTCAACACCAGGTCACTGGAAGGGAGTGTGCAGAGCCTGTGCGTTCACTTAATTTGGTTAGGAAATGGCCTCTGCTTAATTGAGGCCACTCTAATTAGAGCAGCAGAGGTTAGAGTGTATGTCCGGAGCAGCGGGAGCCCTTGGGAGACCGGGGGCGGGAGGGGCAGAAGTGGCCTCATGGAATACAGAGAGTCTGCAGCGGCAGAGAGGGGGGTCAGCAACAAAGGCTGACCACCCCCCAGGACCACCCCCACCTCCACTTATTCCACCCTCCCCTGCCAGTGACGCGGCGCACCCAGCCTGGTGCAGAAGTCTCCCTGAAAACAGGGAGGGAGTGGAGGGTGCATCTTAAAACCTGCAGCCCAGGTAACAAGAGCTACGTAGGCAGAGCCAGAGTGGTCTCTCGGACCACGGGAGCAGAAGCGCACCCTGAAGGTCCTGTTACAGCTGGGCACAAACCAAGGCAGGTCTGACAGGGGAGAGGGAGCGCAGAGTTGTGTTCTGGTCCTGCTTCTGCAAGATCCAAGACCAGGCGGTGGAACCAGGCTGCTGCTAGACTGGCGATGAAGGGGCAGGAGTGCTGCCATGAGAGGTTTACACTGATTTTACTTTTCTGCGAAGGTCTCTAAAGCAGTGGTATTTTCCTTTGAAGAACACAGCTAGAGAAACAGGCCTGGGCAGGGACACAGCTCTTGCTCTGCCCCGCATGGCTGTGCGAGGCATCCAGCGTGCTGAAGGCGAAGGGATTCCCGTGGAGCTGCTCTTACCATTCCCATCAGGATCGGCCTTGACTGCAGTGTACATCTCCCGGATGTTTTCAGGGGTCATCCACCTGCCGTTCCCAAGCCGGGTGTGGGTCAACACCTGAAATTCATAAATGGATCAACACTGGGCACTGGTTTCTTGTACTAATGAAACCCTACAGATTCCCTGCTTGAGGCCTGGCGGGCTCTCCTCTGCAGAGCATCGGCCAGCCAGGCGTCAGCACGTCTCTGCAGAAAGAAGACTGCAGAGAGAATCATCTGGCAGCCATACACAGTACGTGGCTGATGAATGCTGTTATTTCCAGTTTAGGTCAAGGCAAATGACTGCTGGGACTCGATTAACCAGTCATGAGATGGAGGGGGCACAGCTCTTCCTCTTGAAGGGAAAGTAAAGCTACTGATGATGAAAGTGAATGCTTTTACTTGTCCAAGATAAGGGCTTGGAACAAAATGCTTCCCTTCCACGTGGACAGAGAGATGCAGTATCCTGGAGAGCTCTCAGCAGGCTCTGACCTCCAGAGAAAGGAGCCTTGCCCTGGGTTGTCACCAGCACAGTTCCCTTACTCCACAACGTGTGCTGCCCACAGGACAGTACACACCCCCAGCCCCACCTGAAACGGGAGCCTGGGGAGGGACATCCTTGAACTGCCAGCACCTGCCCTGACGCACCCTGCCATACAGGGCAAGGGTGCTGAAGAGCTGTGGACAAGGTGCTCATTATCCCCCTCCAGGGTCATTAATAGGGGTGGCTTTGCTGATGTCCGGTCAGTTGAGCGCAGCCAGTCCCCCAGGGCTGCACAAAGCGGTGCCTACGCTACAAACTCACTTCCCTGGGACACCCAGCAAGAGGAACCCCACAGCACAAGGAACATTTTATCCAGCATCTTCAAAACACACATCTCCCGCCAAGGACCGTTAATACCTCCCAATAGCATCACAACTGCCGCACATTTCCCCAGACACTTCCCCACTGAAGGCCAGCACAAGTCTTGAGACATAAAATTAAGCAAATACTGATAGGTATATACTGGGGTCTGCCCTACCCAAGCACGTGAGTAATCAAGAGACCATCTGAGGAGGAGCCCTGACAGAGGGTCCCCCAGCAAACCTCCCCCAGTCTGTCCCGCAACTCTACCTCTTTGAGCTGCAGCTGCCCATCCTGATTGTGGTCCAGCAGATTGAAAATGTCCATCTGGCTGATTTCTATCATTTCCATGGCTTCCTCGTAGTCATCCGTTGGTAGGATCTGGCTCTTCTGCAGCCCCTTCAGCTGTGCCAGATGGACAATGAGCTTGCACTCTTCCTCTGTCAGGAAGTCAGGAATTTCTGCAGCAAAAGTGTGAGCAGCGACAGAGACTGAGAAACTGTTACAGTGGGACCCCATATCGACGGCAGGCCAGTCAGAAGAAAATAAAAAGAGGGGGGGGGCAATTTAGAAACTGCCTAAGTTTGGGACATTCAAACACATCCAGCCTTTGACCAGAAGAGCTCTCAAAGAGCACACACCACACACCTGAGCTGCTGGAGGCAGGTATTTTTACAGCAGCAGTTCCTAAATGTTTGGACCCAGGGGTCAAGCCCTTAAACCCTCTCGTAGATACCACAATGGACAAAGGAGTGAACAAACACGTGCATATCACCGCATATTATCACTTCAAAGGTGACATGTGGATCACAGTCTGGGAACTGCTGCTCTGCAGGAAGGCAGGACAAAACCTCTGCGGTAGGCAGTGGTGATGGCCAGGGAGTCAGGCTTCCTTGCTCTCACGTGGAGAGGACAGCACTTTGCACAAAACCAAACACCTTTCGGGGGAGCCTGGCACAGTGCTCTACTATGAAAGTCAAACAGCAAGGAAACAACTTCCAAACTTATTCCCACTCATTCCCTTGATCCCCCACTAAAAATGGCCTTCAAATGTATTATTACAGGGGAAGACACTGCACGTGGCGGATGCCACGCTCCGTACCCAGGTAGCGTCCCGGTATCACCAGCTTTCCTTTGCAGCGCGACACCAGCAGCAATCACGCAATACCAGGATCCCAAGCAAACTTAAATGCAGAGAAATCCACCGATGACTATGAGGCTAAGAGATTTCTAGCTGCAGGGTGCACTGGGCACACACTTGCAAAGTGCAGGCAAGGTCCCGTTCCACAGCACAGTTACACTGTGGCCCAGCAGGTTGAGAAGATCCTTCTGGCTGATGTCTGTCACTGCTACGGGGATCTTGTTACCAGCTGCTGACACTTTTGAAGAGGGAAAGAAAAACCACCAAAGCAGGACAGGTTTAAGCGCTCCTAGGCCCAAGGTCCTGCTCTCCAAATCGCAGCCCCCTAGAGCTCCCGCAGGTATGTGCCAAGGACACGTTATATCTCCACTATAGCAGCAATCCTCAAAGGGAGGGGGCAGAAGTTAATTACTTCCATGACCTTAAATCAACCCTATCAGCTCAAACTGTCAATAAGCAGTTGGCTTCTTGCTAAGTACAGACCAGAACTAGCCCTGGAGAAAACGAGATGTTCCTGGGAAGCCCCTGAAACACAATGCAGCCGGCTGTATCCGTAACGCCCTCCAAGGAAACAATTTCCGCCACAGGCAGCGCAGGGTCCTTGTGCCAGAGGATGCTTCAGAGCCGGAGCTTCCGCTGGCCGCTTTGAACCTCATGGCAAGGCACCAGGCCCGAATGAACCGTGTGTGCTGGCAAGCAATGCCCCCAGTATTTCCAGTTCCCCAAACTGGGCTACGATAATGACGGCTTCTGGAATCTTAATTACGTGCTGGAGGAAGGACAATCCCGCTCTTCAGCGGGAGTAACGGGATTTTGTAATGAAGTAAAGATTCTGTTAACCGGAAAGCACGCCCTGTCACGCAGGTTGCAAGGTGAGGGGCTTTCCAGCTAAGCGCTGCCAATCCCGTCTGCAAACAACCTGGCCCCACAGCTGCAAATTAGTTCCTCTCTAGCCTCAGCTCTCTGAAACAGTTAACTTCTGGCTGTGAGACCATCCTATCTCCCTGCCTGCTCAACAATAGATCCAGCTAAACAAATGCCTCCTAATTGACTTTGAGCAACACTTGATTGCTTTTACAAAAAACAAAAGGGAGGAAAACATTGGAGTTTATGAAATAATGACTAATCCTGGAGCAAGAGAAAGGGGATGGGTTGGAGCACTGGTGTCAAACAGAGATTCAATCTTGGCTGAAAGAGCCCCAAGACACATGGGCCAAGTCATTCATCCCTCCCCAACTGCCCTCATTTCCACACCTGCTGATCTAAGCCAAACCCCTGCTAGAATCCAAACAATCGGGGCCGCTGGCAAATGAAAATTGGAGCATTGTCTTCCCCATGAGGGCTCTGAAAGGGCCGCACTTAATGAGGATGGATTGACAGAGAGGTGGCTTGTAGGCTATAAAAGACGTCCCACAGTCGGGAGCAGCTCAGTCCGGGGTGCGCTGCCCGTTCGCCCGCTCCCAGCTCGCTCTGAGCATGGTCACGGCCCACCGCAGGCACCCCTCGAGGTTGGGTGGCCCATGGCTGCTGGGTGTCCTGGCATGCCTGCTGCTCTGGGACTCTCCAGGAGCCTGGGCGAGCTACTTGAGGAGATCCTCCAGCTGCATGCCCATTCCACACCATATGGCCTTGTGCTACGATATCGGCTACTCCGAGATGAGGATTCCTAACCTGCTGGAGCACGAGACCATGCCAGAAGTGATCCAGCAGTCTTCCAGCTGGCTGCCCTTGCTGGCCAGGGAGTGCCACCCAGATGCTAGGATCTTCCTCTGCTCCCTCTTTGCACCAATCTGCTTGGACAGGTAAGATGTTTTTACAAGTTGTTTCAGCTGTAGCAAGTAACACTCCCCAAGAGCGCAACTGCATTTGCCTCCCGAGAGAAAACGCGTGCAATGTGCTCAGCGCCATCCCTGAGAAGCCGTGCTGCCCCTCTCGGTGAGGGGCAATTGGATTACCCACCAGGGATCTTCCCTCTGAAAGTGAAACACGAGCATTTCATCTTACAGGAGCAGAAACATTATGTTCCCTCCTCTGGATTTTCCTGCTCTCCCACCCCAGGCACCGCTGCCGTCTCCCCTGGCTGCCCCCCTCGCACACTGCAGTAGCTGCTGGCACCCACCAGCTTCACCTCCCACCTTCCCCTGCAGCACCCTTCCCAGCTCCTGCCTGGACCATGCAGGGGCTTCCTCAGCCCGACAGTGCCAGCATCAGAGAGAAATCCTCAGTTTTGAGGTGCAGCCATCAAAGGACAGAGCTGCTAAGGAAATCAGGTATCCAGTTAGGCACCTGTAAAGGTAAGCAGCCTTTGCACAAATAGAGAAGATCCCTCGGAGCTGGGGGGAGGGTTTCTGGCAGCAGCCTGTATTGAACGGCCTCATCCCTCATCCCTCCTGTCCTCAGAAATTCATTGTTTGCTTCCTGGGCATGAATGTTCAAAACACATCAAAGGCCCCAAGATAGCTCTGCTAGCGCTACAGTGTGCAACACAGCCGTGTGGCAGCAGCGTGGTGCCCGGGCTCGACCCTCAGCCAGCTGCCAGAAGGAGCCCAGAGGTGCTGCAATCCCCACCCCCTCCCCAGGTCCATCTACCCCTGCCGCAGCCTGTGTGAAGCCGTCAAGAGAAGCTGCGCACCCGTCATGGCTTGTTATGGCTACCCCTGGCCCGAAATCCTGAACTGCAACAAGTTTCCTGCAGATCATGAACTGTGCATCGCAGCAGTCTCCATGGATGAAAACTCCTCGAGCAGGAGAAGTAAGTTGGTTTTCTTTTTTCTCATATGTTTTCCCATATGTAACACTGAAAACTCAAAAGGATGGGCCTATGCCTTGTTTCTATTCCTAATATTTCTGGGTTTAAGCTATATTTTTTAAAAAAAATTATAAATTCTAGTTTTGTTCTCTCTGGGAACTCCACCGTGTCTAGAAAATTAGCGTAAAGTCAACTGCAGCTTGTTCCCCTCCCTACTGTATTCATTAGCTCCCCGGGTGCCATCAGACCACGCAGGGTTTGAGGCAGGGGGAAGAAATTCCTGTAAAAGCCTAATGCTCAGGCACAGCTTGTGTGCAGGCTCCAGGCAGGGAGATGTGCTTCCAGCGGAGCTAAGGAACTGCAGCTCTGATCTTTCAGTGGTGTCCAGGGCACTGACACAAAACATTTATCCAAAAAATAAATGTTTTGCAAGCCTTCTCTTTCGACATTAGGAAACACCACATGCCTCTGCCTCTGCAGACATGAGTTACACAAGAAAAAAATCTTTAAGACTGAAAGGCTAAATTAAACACCCAGATACTGATGAACACTGGGGGGGATTCAAGAGCAGTTAAGGGGAGAACAGACGTCTCATTTCAGCATCACTGGATGGAGTCTGGCCATACCAACAGCTTTACTGTTTCATCCGAACTAGGAGATCTTCATTAAGCATTTTCACTGCTGCTTTAATGTGCAGCAACACACACGAGCCTAAACAAAGCACGACAAGCAGCGTCTGCCCCAGCCGCAGAAAGGAGAGCTTAACATTTCCCACCCTGGCAGCCTAAGCTCTCTCTCCAGGGACTGGGTAGCTCGGGAGGAAGCATCACTCGGAAACAGCAAGCCACCACTCGCAGATCTCAAAATTGCATTATGCCTTTTCCAGTGAAGCTTGACAAGGGTGTTATAACCAAATTTCTGTCGCAGCAGTGCCCCGAGCCAGCTGCAAGGACTGCGAGCTTGAGGAGGCCAGCACTGCCAGGGAGATCCTGGAAAACCTCTGTGCCAATGATTTTGGTGAGTAACCCCCCTCCTCCTCTCAGTTGCTGCTGCTCCCTCCAGCAGGCAAGTAGTGGCACGGACAGAAAATGGCTTTGCCGTAACAAACTGACTTGGAGGAACTGCAGCTTTCACAGCAGACCCCAGGGATTTTCAGGTCTCAACTTACCTGTTTGGTAGCAGGAGGGCCCAGCTCCAGGCAGCACCGAAGGTGAAGAACCTGCTTTATTTCTGTGGGCTCCGATTTGGTTTTGGTCTGCGGCTGCTAAATACAAGCACTACTCTGGTTTTCCCTTGGAGACCAACGTTTCAATTGATGCCCATAAAAACCTTTAGCAAACTCCACGTTAGTTATTTCAAACTTCAGTACTGTTGTTCGAGTAACGCGACTCTCCCTCTCCTAGCCCAAGCCGGTGGCAGCACTGGCTCTGCTCAATCAGCTGGCAGGAAGTTTTCAAGATACTGTCCTGAATTCAGGCACACAACCTTCATGAAAAAAAAAAAAAGTTAAAAATCCTGGGCAGCTGGCAGTCACGTCACCTCCTGAAATCCCAGCTCGGAGAAAAGCCAAGTAATTTGCACGAGACCAGGACTTTGACGCATCCACTTGCCTGTGTCCCTGCTTCCTAC